TTCGAACCAGTGCTAAAGCGGATGGGGTCCCCCAGACCAGGGCAATAAGGCAGAAGTTGTTCAGAATCAGAGCAAAAAAGTTGAGGGAACTCCCAACCAGGGCAAAAAGGCAGAGGGAGCCCAGAACCAAGGCAAAAAGGCAGAAGGAACCCAGAACCAGGGTAAAAAGGCAGAAGGCACCTCCAACCAAGGTAAAAAGGCAGAGGGGGCTCCCAACCAGGGCAAAAAGGGAGAAGGGGCCCAAAATCAGGGCAAAAAGGCAGAGGGGGCTCCCAACCAGGGCAAAAAGGCAGAAGGAACTCCCAACCAGGGCAAAAAGGGAGAGGGGGCCCAGAATCAGGGCCAAAAGGTGGAGGGGGGCCAGAACCAGGGCAAAAAGGCAGACGGGGCCCAGAACCAGGGCAAAAAGGCAGAGGGGAGCCAGAATCAGGGCAAAAAGGCAGATGGGGCCCAGAACCAGGGCAAAAAGGCAGAGGGGGCCCAGAATCAGGGTAAAAAGGCAGAGGGGGCCCAGAATCAGGGTAAAAAGGCAGATTCAGTTGCTAATCAGGGCACAAAGGTGGAGGGTACTGCAAACCAAGGGAAAAAAGCAGATGGGCCCTCCAACCAAGGCAAGAAGGCAGAGGGAACCCCAAACCAGGGCAAAAAGTCAGAAGGGTCCCCTAACCAGGTCAAAAAGGTGGATGCATCTGCCAATCAGGGTAAAAAGGCAGAGTCAGCTCCTAACCAGGGCAAAAAGGCAGATATGGTTCAGAGCCAGGAGGCACCAAAGCAAGAGGCTCCTGCAAAGAAGAAGTCTGGTTCAAAGAAGAAAGGTGAGCCTGGTAAGTAGCTTTGATTTCTTTATGAACTTGGAGGAAAATGCTATCTTTGAATGGCTTATGGATTTCCTTTGGGGAAGCCATCTTATCAGTTAGCTATTGCCACAACAAGGCTGCATAACAAACATTTCAGATTTCAGTGATTTACACCAGCTGTCATTTATTGTTGCTCATACTTCTGCTGGATTGGATAGAGGTTGACTGATCTGGGTTGGCTCTGCTGAGTGGCTCTGTTCACTCTGGGTTTGACTCCTTTCTGTAAGTCTCTTCCACATGTGTTCATTCTGGGGCCCAGGCTGAGACTCCAAGGACTCTCAGGGCAGAGGCCCTTCTCATGCTTATGACAGAGCTATAAAAGGGCACATTTCAGACCAGCATCTTATTAGCTAGAGCAAGTCATGTGAGAGCCTGAGTCAAGGGACAGCAAATCTTTCTTAAATGTTTGAGTGCCTTTTGTGAGCCTGTTCTGTTGTGTACCTCACCTGGTATTTTAGCATACCTTTATTCATTTATGTGTTTGTTGAGAGAATAATGGTAGGATAATGTTTTCAGGGAGCAGTAGTATTTACCCCTCCAACCCCTCACCCCCAGTGTCCTGTCCTCCCTACCCCCGTTCCCGTTATAATTTTTTATTGATTTCAGTGAGGAAGAGAGAGGGGGAGAGAGATAGAAACATCATTGATGCGAGAGAATCATTGATCGGCTGCCTCCTGCATGCCCCCCACTGGGGATCGAGCTCACAACCAGGCATGTGCCCCTGACTGGAATCGAACCTAATACCCTTTAGCCCTCAGGCCGACCTTCTGTCCACTGAGCCAAACCAGCTAAGGCTTGTCCCAGTTATTTAATGGAGCATTTTATGTATATATAAAATAATATAGAACAGTAGTTTCCTATTACTTTGTTTCATATTAATATGGAAATTGGGCCGATGAGTTCTATTTCATGTTCATCACTCATTTGCTAGAATACCAGCAGTCTTATGTTTTCTTAGTTGATTTGGAAAATTAATTGCATTTGTCTTGATGAGGCATCTTTTTTTGTTGTTGTTAATCCTCACCCTAGGATATTTTTCCATTGATTTTTATTTTTTTATATATATTTTATTGATTTATTGATTTATTGATTTTTTTTTACAGAGAGGAAGGGAGAGGGATAGAGAGTTAGAAACATCGATGAGAGAGAAACATCGATCAGCTGCCTCCTGCACACTCCCTACTGGGGATGTGCTCGCAACCAAGGTATATGCCCTTGACCGGAATCGAACCTGGGACCCTTGAGTCTGCAGGCCGACGCTCTATCCACTGAGTCAAACCGGTTAGGGCTCCATTGATTTTTAGAGAGAGTGGAAGGGAGGGAGGGAGGGAGAGAAACAGCCATGTGACAGAGATAAGTCAATTGGTTGCTTTCTGCACATGCCCCGACCAGGGCTGGGGATTGAGCCTTGCAACTGAGGTATGTGCCCCCAGCCTGGAATTGAACCTGAGACCCTTCAGTCTCCAGGCTGACGCTCTATCAGCTGAGCCAAACTGGCTAGGGCATTGATGAGGCATCTTATGAGATCTAAAATGTTTGGACCTATGTTATGTAGCACAGGATTCTCTGTTTTTGTTTTGTTTTTTGGATCCTCTGTTTTTAGCTGGGTTTCCCTTTCTTGCACCTTAGTGAAGCTACATTACCTTTTCTCTGGCTTCTACCTCCAACTTCATGGGCTGGGAGGGCACCCATCCTCTGTGAGTAGCTTTGGGCTCCTGCTGAGGATCAGGGACCATCACCTGGCCCCATAGGTCAGGTCAACTTCTCAGGCCCTTGAAAACCCAAGGGCCTCAGCCTTGCCAGCACAGGCTGGAGGGAGCGCACACTGCCCTTGTTTAAGGTGGTTTTTCACCTGACACAGCTACAAGGGCATTTGAGATTCGAAGACAGGTATATTGCGGAGAACAGGCCTGTTTTCTGGCTTTCCAACATCAGGTGTGTTAGAATAGAGCTTCCTGTGTCCTGTGGTCATTATTACCACTGTGGCTTTAGACATCTGAGATAAGGCATGAAACAAAATGTAATGATAATATAGAAAGGAAGACAAAATGGTCCTAATTTGCAGGTAATAGAGAACCTTGTTAGAAGGAAAACTTAACTTTATGCCTGTGGGAACCCACATAGCAGCTTGGAAGAGGGTGGTATAAGGCAAAATTTGAAGAGGAAGGAAATACCGTGCTCCAGGAGAAGAAAGATTGAATATTATAGATAAAATAATAGTTATTCCTAAGTTCTCTTAGGGGTTTATTATTCTTCCAGCCAAAATTTCAATGGCATTTTCCTCCCTTAATTTGACAAAACTATTCTGAAAGTCCCATCTGGAGGGAAAAATAGATAAGAATATTGGATGGAGTTGTAAGTGGTTTTTGGAAGGCCAGTTTTGTCTGATGTGTGAATGTATTCCGTATTCCCAAACTATTGTAATTACAAGTAGGGTGCTGATTCACATGGTGGGAGGCTATTACTCCAAGGTTGCAATTTGGGGCTCTTGGCCACACAAACAGCCACGTGGGACAGTCAGACATGACCTACATGAAAACAGCCACAAGGGGTAATACGTGTGGCTAATATAACACCTGAAAGGTGAAAGTCTGAAAGCATGGGGAAATATTTTCTTGTACTTCTTTTTATTTGTATTATCCTCAACTGAGGGAGAGAGAAACATTGATCAGTTGCCTCCAGCACTCAGCCCGACCAGGGACTGAACCCACAACCTGGGTTGTGCTCTGGCTGGGAAGCAAACCCGCAGCCTTTTGGTGTATAGGATGACACTCCAACTAACCAAGCTCCACCGGCCAGAGCTCTTGTATTTTATTTTTTATTTCCCTGAATTTGCAGTGTGTGATCTGAGCCCTGTTTTTCCCAGGGTTGGTATGTAAAGTCACCTTCAGGGCCCTCCGAGGTGGATGCAGGTCACTCCCTGCCCCCAACTCCATAATCGTGAAATCATGGGTTTTCACACTTCCCTTGCAATTCCATCTTGTATGTGGAGTTCAGTGTTCCAGAATTAATCTGACTCATATTAGAATCTGTAGCTGTGACTGTTGCTGAGTGAGAAGCAGACCACATTCTTTTCATGCAGTTACACCTCATGTCCCCTGAGGCTCTGGTTAGTCCCAGCTGCATGCTCTTGACCTTCTTGCCCACCAGCTGGGGCTGAGCTTCTCTCTATGTCTGTCCAGGGTTTTTCGACCTCCAGCCTCTCCAAGGCTATGCATGCCCTAGAGAAGGGAACTGTGGATACAACTCCGGGTGGACTGGCTGGCCCTGGGTGTCCAGAAACTCGGGGACCTGGAGAGTAGCCTTGGTGGGGGAGAGGTGGCCTGATGACCATGGGGAGGTACTTGGGGAATAGGTTCCTTATCACTGGTGTGGAGCAGGCCAGGAAGGGATTTCTAACTCCAAATCGAGGAGACTGACTCAGGTGGAGGAGGGTTCCAGGGCCATGAGATTTTTGATCATGGGCACCAAAGAACTAGAGTCTAGGGCTGTGTTGTCCACTATGGAAGCTGCTAGTCACATGGGGCCATCCATATAAAAACGTTCAAGTCAGTCAAAAGTAATAAAGTGAGAGATTCTGTTACGCTAACCACATTCCAAATGCTCAATAGTCACATGTGGCCAGCAGCTGCCCTTTGGGGCAGTGCAGATGAAGAACAACGTCGGCATCAGCACAGTAGCTTCTTTTATACAGCACTGCTCTAAACTGGAGTCCTTAGGAGGGTGGTGGTCTCTTGGGTCACCTTACAGGTGACTCTGTGAAAACAAACATGTCTTTGCAACCCTCTATTGGTGCCATGCAGCTCCTTTCTGCTTTGTTCTGTCTGTCTGCCTGCGTCCGGAGTGGGGTGGGGGTGAACTCCCGTTGTCCTCCGTATCACAGTGAGATGTGACGAATGAGATCATAGAGGCTGCGGCTGACCATGACACGTGACAGATCAGTGGCAAAACCTGCCCCAGAGCTGGGGTCCATCAGAGACAGGGTTGCTTCTTTAGTCATCACCAGGTGGGGCCCTCGCTGACAGGTGCCCAGAGGGAAGCCCAGCAGATGTGGGGGCAGGCACAGGACACACTTCTGCAAGTCCAACTTGGAACTTTTCCAGAACTTCTGATCTAATTTTCCTACAAGAGCAAATCAAGGCCATGTGACAGCTTTTACCACTTGTCTGTGGCTGGATTTGACAGTGAACACTGCCTTCCTGCCTTCCTAATCCCTGCTTTTTAACATTTATTATTGTATAAATATGTGCTTCCAGCAAACACAGTTCAAGCAGTATAAAACCATAGAAGGTAAAAAGTTAGTGTTCCTTCCTACTTCATCCCATTTACCATCCACTTCCCAGGGGGAGCCCTGGAGATACTCTGTTCATCACACCAAATGCACAGCTGGGGCCTACAGTGCAGGCAGCTTTGGAACTGGCTTTCTTTACTTATAAGTGTACTAGTGACATCTTCTGCAGGGCTGCCACTTTCCATAGCATGAATGTATCATGATTTATTTAAATGACATTAAGTAGTGTGCAGTGTTTTTTGTTGTTGCTAAAATTAATGCAGTGATGTATATATGATGTGTGAGTATCTCTCTGTAGAAAGTAAATTCCTAGATATGTGATTGCTAAGTCAAAAGGTAGGTCCCCTTTTAGGAAGACAGTACAGCATCATTCTTCAAACACATTCCACGATTTACCCTTGTTGCAGAGTGCAAGAGACCCACATGAGTGTTTCCAGCGCCCTCCGACTGATTTTACTGCTCATGTGGTACTATGGAAATGGTGACATTTTCCAGGGAGCATCATAAACCCAGGTGTGGAGCACGGAGAAAATACTTGCTTATGAAACAAAAGGCATGGGCTCTTGTCTTAATGTTTGGAAAAGAGGGAATTCATGGTACCAAAGAGAAAGTGGAAATTTCCCAGAACTGAAGCTTCTAAGTGTTTGCAGTGCCGTGTGGCCTCTGCTGGTTCATT